TGTGTTGTTCTCAGGAAGCAGGAAAAGCAGGTTGGATGGTAGTTTCCAGGCTTTGGGGAGAGGTGTCTGCTGCTGGGGCAATAGAGGGCAAGGAAAGCCAGGGTCAGTCTGGTTTAACTGAGGGAGCTGCTCCTTCCGTGTGTGGTGAGAACCTGGCTGCCAGCCCATGGAGGAGCAGGTGGGGATGCCAGGGTGGGCGAGGCTGGCACCTTGGTGCTTGTTGTATGTCCCTTGCAGCTGGATGTGCTCCTTCTCTCGCCTTTAGCTGGGGTGAGGCAGTCATGCCATGCCATGGACCAGCAGCCGCTGGTATGTAGGGGGCAGATCAGCGCTCCTGGCGAGGCATGGCACCTCAGCTCAGAGATTAGCGGCACCACATGCTCACAGAGCGTTCTGCAGATTGGCCAGATGCTCCAGGGGTTGGTTGGGTGTCACACTCGTTTTTCTTCTCAGCCATTGTTAGTATCTTCAGCGCACTCCTCCCCAGCTTCATGCTGGCTTGCAGATGGCCTGTGCCAGGGTGATCCTAACTGCAAGGGGCTGGGGCCGAATGCAGAGGCAGAGGCATCAATTGCAACCCCAGAGTAGGGTTGAAGTTGCACTTGAAGTCCTGATTCAGGCTCTTATGTATAAAGTGCAGAGGATTTAGTGTTCTCAAAATGACATCACTCTCTCTCTGAGCACAGCATGGGCATGTCACAGATCCACAGGGTCAGGGCTACACCCCCAGCTGTGCAACAGTGTCTAGGAGGCACCTCTCAGTGTGCCAGACCCCCAGGGGGTCTGACTCTTCCTCCAGGGTCAGCCATGTGGCTTCACCGCCTCCCCAGATTGGATCTCTGGGGCTCCAGCCCCCCTGCTGCACCTCATAATCTCTGCTCAGAGAGTCCAACTGAGATGACCCCAATGGAGACCAGTCCTCTCTGCAGAGATCAATGCACCTCGCCCAGCATTGACAGTGACACTCACCCAGCACTGTCAACACAGTCGGGTTTTTTCGTTAACTGGCACACAACACAGAAAGGTCTTAGGGTAGTACAGAGAACTGAAGGTTAAAGCATAGTCCATTCTGGTCAGCCCAGAGCCCAGCCAAGCTGTAGGGAACCCCTTGGTTAAAGCTTGGTCTGTCCCTTTGTCTGATCTCCTTCCTCAGATGCCGGTTGAGAGCCCTGACTCCTTCCAGCAGCCTGCTCTTATTCCCCATCTCTCCAGTCTTTTGATCCCGACTTGGAGGATTGTTGTGCATGTTCCATAAGGAGAGGCATAGAAATTCATCTCCCCTCTGGTTGCTAGGTGCCAATGTCCTCGTGACTGGATTTGCCACTGCCTTCTCAGATGCTCCCTTCATATGGAGACTAAAGCCTAGACAGTAGGTGACACACACACATGTATGTGCCAGCCTGACCTGAGAGCAAACAGTCCCCTTCCACTCATTTGGTAACAGTGCAGCACACAGGGGAAACTGGGGCACAAACAGGACTCATAAAAATATTCCCACTTGGTCACAGCACGTAAATCTGTTAATTAGTTTAGGAATAACACTAATTCTGCAAACTACCATGTAGTTAATACTCACTGCAACCTTGGGCATCGGCTACGCTGGAATGCTTTCTTATTTTTATTTTTTTGTAAGTTTAATGCTTATTTTCCCTCATTGTTCTTCATAACAGAAAGTTTCTCCTTCATCAGAAACCGTAACTGCCCTGTAACACCATGCAAAATCTGTACAATTATGATTAAAACATTTCAGTTTTTGGGACCCAGATTAGAGTAAAATGATTCTTATGGACATTAGATTTTTTTCATTTTCCCCCCTCAGGGTATCACTGTTGCTTGCTACCAGCTCTTATTTCCCTTCAGCTCTTCTGTCAGAGAATCACACGTTTGTTTGTTAACGAGATCAAGGCAATGCTGCTTTCTGTAGAATTTACTTAGCCAACTGCATCTTCCCATTCAGAAACCCACCTCTCTCCCTCGGCCCATCAGAAAGTCTCAGGAGCTTAAATTAGTCCCCTCCCCCACCAGGTAAATCCCAGCAGAATTTAAAGGGACACTATCCAATACTTATTTTTAAATTGACTTTCCGTTACTTCTGGTAGCCCCTTAGCATGGCAAAAGAAAATGGCTTTTCCCATTGATTTGTCTAGCAAACACCAGTTCGTTGTCCTGCCTTGCTAACAGAGCTGAAGCTAAGTCATTGCTTTTTTGCCTAAATCTCTGCAGCGAGAGATCCAAGACCCAGACACCTAGAACTTGGTGAATGTTCATTTCCAGCTTCACAGTTCGTGGTCCAGGCCAGCCCAAGATCTGTGCCCCATTTCGGTTTCATTTACATCCTCTTTGTGCTGGTCTCTGCACAGGAGTGAATTTCTCCCTCTCTGTGCTAGTGCTGTGAGGGAAGCCACCATGAATAGGGTCAGTATTTGGAGCAGAGTTATTTCGATACTCCTTGATGCTGAGTGGCATGGGGAGACTCAGTGCCTAGTATTGACTCTGTCCGTGTCCTTGAAGCTGAGAGAGAGAGAAAGAGAGAGAGAGGAATGTGCTTGGTACATGTGGGATCAAAGAGCCTTGGTGACATAAACAATAATAAGAAGAGCAAAGCTGAAATGATTTGTCATGGCCTCCAATCATCAGAGTGGTCTTGTCTTATGTTCTTTACATGGAGGAGATGACTACATACACGGCCACGAATATGTGTGTGGTAATGGACCAGCTAGTACTGGATGGCATCAAAGGCTGCATGTCATCAGCTCCCTATAGCCAGCCATTAACTAATGAAGGCTCTCCTACAGCTCAAGAATTAAGGGCCTGTGCCTTTGGAATGGAAGGATCTAAGTTGAAGATCTGCTGCCCTCATTTAGTGCCAGGTGCACACAGTGTGTAACAGTGAAAATCCAAGTCCTAGGGAGTTACTGCTGCATGAGCATGGTTTAGCTGATCAATGGGCACCAGGGTCTCACTAGCCAATTAGCATTTTCATTTCCCCTGGAGGCGCCTTGCTCGTGTGCTGGCTGGAATAGAATTTTAGCAGCTCAGAAATGCTTTAAACGCTCCAGAAAAGGCTAGGAAGACTCATTCCTTTGGAAGTGAAAATGTAGGATGGCTCCCAAGAGCCATGGATGAGGGAGCTGGGCTCTGTCAGATGGCTGAAGTTTCCTTTGAGAGAGTCATTGCACAGCTATCCAGGAGACTCTGGACCACATCTAAGAACATAAGAATGGCCATGGAGAGTCAGACCAATTGTCTGTCTAGCCCAGTGTCCTGTCTTCTGACAGGGGCCAATGCCAGGTACCGCAGAGGGAATGAACAGAACAGGTAATCAGCAATCCATCCCCTGCTGCCCACTCCCAGTTTCTGGAAATCAGAGGCTTAGAGACACCCAGAGCATGGGATTGTGTCCCTGACCATCTTGTCTAATAGCCATTGATGAACCTGTCCTCCATGAACTTATCTAATTCTTTTTTGAACCCTATTATAGTTTTGGCCTTCACAACATCCCCTGGCAATGAGTTCCACAGGTTGACTGTACATTCTACTCTGCCCAGCTTGTACCTGGCATTGGTCAAAA